AGACCTCACTGTGGTGTGGTTTACATTCAGCTGTGTAGACCGACAGTAGGAAAGACATGAAGACAATTATAGCTTGCAGTAGCTGCTCTGAGGAAAAACGATGAGGGTAGTATGTTGAAACAATGATCTTCAAGTCAGGGACAGTGTTATATAGTTACCTTAACCTCTGTGTGCCTCAGTTTCCCATCTGTAAAATGGGGGTGATGATAGCAGTGGCTCCCTAGGAAGACTACTGTGTGGATTTAACAAGTTAGCATGCCTGGTGACCTCAGGACGGTGCCGGGTGCACGGCGAGGGCTGTGCTCCTGTTAGCTGTCATCATTTCTGTCCTGGGGGGTAGCGATGCCTCAGGTCAGGGCCCGGTTTTCACCAGGGAAGTAAGACCTGAGCCCAAAGGCTGGCAAGAGGAGACAGGGGAAGTCAGCATGGCCCTGGAGGCCACTGAGTGGAGGACCTGGAAACACAGCGGGGCCAGCCTTGGCCAAGAGGGAATTGTGGAGCCCTGGGTGATGGGCTGTGGAGCCCGGCCAAGGTGGTAAGGGGCTGAGCAGCTGGGAGGGTGCTAGTCAGCCTCAGGTAAACTGTGACGAGAGCAGCCCTCATTTTTCAGGATCTGCTCTGTGTCAGGTGCTGGCCAAGTGCTTGGCAGAAAACCCCACAACAGTGTTCTGAGGTAAGCATGTTTCCAGATGAGGAAACCAGGGGTCAGAGAGGTGGTGGAACTTGCCCACAGTCCCATAGCAGGAGTGAGCAGAGGCAGGACTCAGATCCAGGCCTGTCCACCTCCAGGGCTCCCACTTTTAACCCCAGGCTGTGCCTCAATCGCCATGAAATCACCAGGTGTTCAGGAAGGCAGTTGGCTTTGGGAATGCTGAAGAAGAGGGTGATGATCAGAGCGAGCTGGCACACATGTCACCTTCTGGAACAGGAGGCCCAGCAGAAAAGCAGGGGCAGTAACAGGGGGCACCAGTCTCCTGCTCGGGGTTCACATGCCTCGTTTCTGGATCCTCCCAGCCACCCCATCGTATGTAAGCTCTACCACCCCGTGTGACGGATGAGGAAACCAAGGCTGGGGAGCTCCATTAACCAGTCCTAGAGCACCTAGGCCAGAGGTCTGCCGACTGCCACCCAGCACTTGCTCAGAGGGGCTAGTCCCCCACCAGGGCATCCTCACTCTGTGAGGCCCATCCTTTCTCCAGGCCACCCTCACCTCTCACCTGAACAGCTGCAGGAGCTTGCTCCCCACCTGCTTGCTCCCACCTTGCCCCTATCCTCACAAAGGCCGGTTTTCTGCCCAGCACCCAGAGGGACCCTTGTGAAATGCAAATCAGAACCTAACACTGGGGCCGGCCCGTGGCTCACTCAGGAGAGTGCAGTGCTGATAACTCCAAGGCCCCGGGTTCGGATCCCATATAGGGATGGCCGGTTAGCTCGCTGGCTGAGCGTGGTGCTGACAACACCAAGTCAAGGGTTGAGATCCCCTTACCGGTCATCTTTTAAAAAAAAAAAAAAGAACCTAACACTGGCCAGCTCAGAGCCCTCAGAGGCTCCCCAGATGCAATCCCAAGTCCCCACTGTGGCCCCTGTCCCCTCCCAGCCCTCCCCTCCCCAGCACTCCTCACACTCACCAAGCTTGTCCCCCTCACACCTTGGCACTTGCTGTCCCTCACTGGAATGCTCCGCTGCTGTGTAAATTCCTTCCTTCCTTCCTCCAGGTTTCTGCTCAGATGTTCCCCCTCAGAAAAGCCATCCCCCCAGGCTGGCCCGTGGCTCACTTGGGAGAGCGTGGTGCTGACAACACCATGTCAAGGGTTGAGATCCCTTTACCGGTCATCTTTTTTTTTTTTTTTAAAGATGACTGGTAAGGGGATCTTAACCCTTGACTTGGTGTTGTCAGCACCACGCTCACCCAGTGAGCGAACCGGCCATCCCTATATGGGATCCGAACCCGGGGCCTTGGTGTTATCAGCACCGCACTCTCCCGAGTGAGCCACGGGCCGGCCCTACCGGTCATCTTTTTAAAAAAACAGAAAAGCCATCCCCGATCCCCATCGATCCCCATCCCTTCCCCTAACTTTATTTTCCTTCAGAACATCTCTCTTCCTACTTACGGGGTCTCTCTGTTCATTTGTTCAACATCAGTCTCCCTTACTCGTGTCGTCTGTGTTTACCGCCGTGTCCCCAGCACCAGGAACAGGCGTGGCACACAGCAGGTTCCCAGGAAGCGTGTGTGGAAGGAGGAGCCAGGGTGCTCTTCTGTCACACTTTGGCCAGGCAAGGTAGAGGGGCTGCGGCCGGCCTTCTTGAATTGGAACAGCTTTGAGAAGTGACTGGAACCTCCTCAAGACCCCGCTGACCCCTGACACTGTTGTTCCAGGCAGGTGGACACCAACACAAAAAACGTCTTTGGGCAGCCACGGTTGAGAGCATCCCTCCGAGACCTGCGGTCCCCACGGAAGAACTACAAGTCCACCATCGAGGACGACCTGAAGAAACTCATCATCATGGACAACCTGGGGCCAGAGCAGGAGAGAGACACAGGAGTACGTAGCGGCCACTGCCCCCGACTCCCCACAGAGTCAGCAACCCAGTGGCCTAGGGGAGGATGGAGAGGAGGGTGGCACTCCCTGCGGTCACTCCACCCTCTCTCCCTGAGTCCTCAGCCATCAGCATATGCCAGCCCTGTTTGGGCATCTGTAGATTCATGGCCGAGAGTCAGGGTGTCACATTAGTCAGGGAGAGAATTTCAGTTTAAACCAGCCCAGGCAGGCATGCAGGCACTTTATCCAGTACTAGAGTACCTCATGCCTCTGGGAAGACCCGGGTCTCATGTTCTTCTCCTGGAGCCAAGGAAAGAAACAGCCCCCATCCGTGCAAACTGCATGAACCAACAATGGGCAGGGGATCCCAGGGGAAGTCGAGACCCTTGTTACCCAAGAACGAGGAAGGCAGGAGCAGCGGGCACCGTGGGACTCCAGTGTTGCCTGCTTCTCTTCACCTCCTGTCCCTGCCTCCTGACTGGCCTCACCCTCGGGCAGGTGCTCTCTTGTGGGGCCCAAGGTAGCCCCTATCTCTTGGGTTAGGCCCCTCCAGCCCAGGGCACTAGGGGAAGAGAGCATTCCAACCCCAGTGGTACCCGCCGAGCCCCAGCACTGGTTCTCATCGGTCCCGCTCAGCTCGCACCAGCTCCCTGAGGGAGGCGTCCATCTCGGGCCCTCACCTGGAGCTGCAGGGTGGGGTCGGCCACAAGTTGGGGGTGGGGGAGACTTCTAGGGGAAAATTGGGGCTCTTTGATCAGCAAGGGGGCAGAGATGGATACTGGGTGGGTAAGAATTTACCACAAACGTTCGGGATGGGAAGAAACCTCTGAGGAATGTGACCATAGGTCAGGCTGTGACCTTGCCCTGCATCCCACCCCTTTCTTGGCAGCAGTCACCACAGAAGAGCCTGCAGCGGACACTATCAGATGAGAGCCTGTGCAGCGGGCGTCGGGAGCCCAGCTTTGCCAGCCCCACTGGTCTGGAGCCGGGCCTGCCCAGTGATGTGCTCTTCAGCAGCACCTGCACCTTCCCCTCCAGCACGCTGCCCGCCCGCCGCCAGCACCAGCACCCCCACCCACCTGGCGGCGGCCCCAGCACTGGCCCTGCCACCAGCAACAGCTTCCCAGAGAAGAAATGTGAGCCTGGGCACCAGGGCTGGTGTGGAAGTTACCCCAGGATTGGGAAGTGGGGGACACTTGAGAGGGGAAGTCACCTGACGGTCAAAGACTAGAGGTCATCAGTGTCAGGGTCATCGGGGTAAGGGAACTAGGATACCCATGAGCCTTGGGGAGCCTGATGGTGGAGCATCAGGGGGTGTCCTGGGGGTCATCTGGGAGTCAGGAACACCCAGGGACCAGGGTCACCAGGTACCGGGAGAGGAAGTCAGCCTTCTAGGTGTAGGCCTTAAGGATCAGGGTTTGCATTAGCTGCCCCCAGCTCCCTGAACCACACCCCCAGCCTCCCTGTTCCAGCACCAAGTAGCTTGCTTCATGCGCATTTATTTACTTACCTGACTCCCCCCCAAGTTTGCAACACTTGGGGACAAGGTGCAGGAGTATGACTTATCCACCCCTTTATTCATCCAGCAACTATTTACTGAGTATCCCCATGAACAGGGCGCCCATGCACGACACCCTCATCAGAAAGCCAGGAGCCAGCTAGAGTCGGTTGTGCCCTTGATCCACTCCATATCCTAAAGGCTCTAAAACTGAAAGGCCATATGTAAGTTTGTGCCAGGCTCAGCAAAACCCGACCTGAACGGACGTGAGGCTATTTATAGTTCTTATTTAAGCCACTTGGTATGAGTAATTTGTTTCCTTGCATGACACTGGTGTGTTGAATACAGGGTGCTGCCTGGCCTTTGGGGTGTGTGATGTAATATACAGCATCTGCACACCTTACTGTTTCACAAATCCAAACAAATCTTGAATTCAGAAGAGGGATTGTGCCCTGTATCATCTGGACGGAGCCTCTCACACACTTTTAGGGGATGGGATAGGAGACTCTGGGACTTTTTTGAGGGAGTTTATCTCCCCGCTTAAAATTCTTCCATGGTTCCCCCATCGACCTAGTATCTGCATCTATACTCCTTGCCCTGATGTTTTGGGGCTCCCACCCCAGGACCCAACCTCAGCCCCTGTACCTCATGGAACCCACCAGACTTTTCCCTCCTCAGGGCATTCCACATAGCTCTTCCCTCTGCCTGCCATGCTCTTTCCCCAGCCCTCCCCTGGGCAGCTCTGGCTTATCCATCAGGGCCCGGCTCAGTAAGCCTTGCCTGGAAGTTTCCCCCAAGCCCCAGGCTAGTCCTTTCGCCCGTCTTGAGCTCCAGAGCACCCTGGTCCTCCAATCATTGTCTGCCTCCTGCACACGTTTCTGCGCTAGGCACTGAGGATGCAGCTGTGAGCAGGTTAGAGAACACCCCCGCCCTCGTGGGATTGGCCCTTCAGTGGGAATTCCCCACACCCCCCTAAGTTTCACTGTTTGTCTCCTTCCCTTATCTCTCACCTTCGCCACTCTGTCTGGGTCTCAGGCAGGGCCTGGCACATAGAAGGCATTCCACACAGCAGGGAGCAGGTGAGAGAGGGGCCGAGCCAGAGAGTTGGTGCCCAGAGGACATAGATACAGACTTGACAGATTTGAACAACTCTCACTAGCTCTGCCTCATTCTTTCAGTCTCAGCTCAGATGCCCCATCTGCCAGGAAGCCCTGCCTCCCCCCACCAGCTCCTGTGGGACCCACAGCCCCCCAGGCTTCTCCCCTTCTATCCATCCCTGATCATTCTGCCTTATGTTTCCCCATCCAAGCCCCATATTCACTCTGGCTCTCACTGTATGAGAATGGGCCTCTCCCTAGCCAGTCCGGGAGCTCCCTAACGGAAGGCCTAGGGTCATCTCAGTCACAGCTGTGACCCCAGATTAGGGCCCTCTGTCTCACAGAGCACACATACACCTCTCTGTGCCCATTTGACTCCCCCATGCCCCTGAACCAAGGACGATTCCATCTGACCTCAGCTTGACCAGGTCCTGAGCCTTTCCACCTCTCCAGAGCCCTTCCCAAGCCACATCCCAGCTGAAAAGACATGGGTAGCCCAGGCCTGGGCTTTACTCACAAAGGGTCCTTCAGGCAAAGGAGCCTCTTGCACGGTGCCACTGATCAGTTGCTCAGCAATGGCAGCTGCTCCCACAGCCCCCACCAGCTCAGCAGTGAGATGCTGACGGCTTGAGAAGAGCGTCATGGAGGCCCGGGGAGCAGGCCCTCAGTCATTCACCCCTTCAGCTAACGCTTACTGTGTGCCACTCATCCGAGAGCTAGATGGCCTGAGTTTGGGTCCCCGTCTTCCACTCACAAACGTAACCTCTCTATGCCTGTTTCTTTGACTGTAAAATATGACCGAAAATAGAGACCACCTCACCAGGTGGATAGAATCAAACAAGTGAATATATGGAAAACAATTAGCACAACATCTACTATGTAGTAAGCATTGAAAAACTACTAGCTATTCATTATTTTCTTGCTAGTATTCTATCATCTGGAGTAAGCATCTTAATTCGTCACTAGTCAGGTGTGTACCTCTGGACTAGAGAGTGAGGGTTAAAGCAGAGTATATACAACAAGGACTTTCTAAACCTCAGAAGCCACATGTGGTTGGGCTCGGAGCTGGGCCTGCATCCGACCACCCACTTCAAATCCCTGTGCTCCCGCTGGCATGTGCAAACCCAGGTGAGGCAGCTTCTTGCTCTGAGCCTTGATTTCCTCCTCCATACCAAGGGATCATAACAACACCTCCCCCGGCTAACGGTGATGTTGTAAGATGCTCCCCATAGCACACTCGGCACAGTGCCTGGCACAGTGCAAGTGCCCAGGGGACATGGAGCAGATACACTTCACTGTCAGCCAGGAACGTGGAGCCACTTCAGGCATGTTTCCTGACCTCTCTATGCCCCCTGTCCTCTGTCCCCTCCTGTTAAGGGCTGCGAGGGGTCAGCAAGCCTACGTCTGGCACTCTCAGTAGCTGCAGCAAATGCGGGTACTGGCACGAAGCTTGTGCTCTCCATCACTCCCCAAACCCTGAGTCTTCAGGGGCCTCTTTCTCTGCCTGGCATGTCATACCTGAACCCACCTGGTCTCCCATGTCCAAACACTGTCTATACACTGACTACCCAAATTTATATCTGCACCCTGGTACTCTCAGGTCCTATGGCCAGCCCTCATCCTACTGTCTCCTTGTGGTGTCTAATGGCATCTCCACTTAACACCTCTAGAAACAAGCTACTAATCCCCCACCCCCAGCCTTCTCCCTCTCAGAGCCAGCTCCATCCGGCTGTGCCCAGGCCCAACCCCTTGATGTCATCCTGCGTCCTTCTCTTTGTCTCACACCCACATCCGTTCTTCAGAAAATTCTGCTGGTTTCATCTGCAAAATAGACCCAGAATCCACCCACTTGTTCCACCACAGCCCCACTCTGGTCCTGTCCGCTGGTGTCTCCCTTGTGTATTGTCACAGCAGCCTCCTCACTGCTCCCTCCCCCCAGCACACACACACACACACACACACACACACACACACAGTCTGTCTCCATGAGCCCGTCACCTCTCTGACTTCACCTCCTACCACTCTCTTCTCTCACTCATTCTGTCCCAGCAACATGGGCCTTTTCAGTGTTCCTTAAATCTGCAGGCACATCCCTGCCTCAGGGATTTTATGCTGGCTGTTCCATCTGCCAGAATGCTCTTCCCTCAGGTGTGCCCCTGGTTCACTCCCAGTCTTCAGAGCTTGGCTCACATTTCATGTCTGCATCAAGGCCTCTTCTAGCACCATGTTTAAAGTTGCACCCACACAAGCATCCAGCATTCTGGTTCCCTTATCCTGCTGGAGGTTTTCCCGGGCACTGCTGTCTTCTAATAAGCAGTATAATTATTAAGTGACTTGTCTCTCCCACGTTGTCATGCTCAGCTACTTCCCTGTCTGCACTCTCCCCACCCAGCCACCATCTCTGCCTCGGAGCTCTCGCTGGCTGATGGGCGGGCCCGGCCGCTGCGGCGCCTCGATCCCGGGATGATGCCGCTGCCCGACACGGCGGCTGGCCTCGAGTGGTCCAGCCTGGTAAATGCAGCCAAGGCATACGAAGGTAGGCACCGTCCACCCAACCCTGCCAGACCCCACCCCCTGCTCTGTTCTAGAAGGATCAGTAGAGGGCCTGCCGCTTTGCAGGAGGGATACATTCAGGTTCCAGAGTCAGGGGGAGCAGGGCAAGTCCTGCCCTGTCATTTGCTCACTATGCAACCCTGGGCAAGTGTCTTTATCTCTCTGATCCCCAGTTACCATGACTACCAAGCAGGTACAGTGACTGCACCAACTGCCTGGGGCTGCAGTAAGAAGTAAATACTGTGTATAAAACATGTTAGGCCCAGAGCAAGCCCTCAACAGATAATACCTTATATTATTATTACAGTGCAAAATCGCACTGATCCAAACTAGATTTGAATTGGTTTGGCTGTGTGGTGCAGAAAACCTGAATTAACGACTTAAACACGCACGGTTTTATGTGGTAAAAATTCCTGGGGTGGGCAGTCTGGGGCTGGTGTGGGCCTTACACAAATTCATCAGGGCCCAGGCTCCTTCCAGCCACTGTGCTGCCATTTCCAGGTGCCTCACCCTCGCCATCCGAGGTGCTACTAGAGCCCTAGCCATCACGTCCAGCTCCAGCCAGCAGGAAAGAGGAGGACACATCCCTTCACTTTAAGGACACCTACTCCTACACTTAGTTCCCATTGACCAGAGCCTCATCCCACGGCCACACCTCGCTGTAGGGCAGACCAGGAAGGAAGCTATGTGCCCTGCTAAGATTTGTGATTTGTTACTACGGAAAAAGGGAAAACAGACTATGAGAGACAGCTAGCAGTCCGCCCCTTTCCTTCCCGTGTGACCTTGGGCAAGTGGCTTTACCTTTCTAAGCCTTGGTTTCATCATCTATAAAACGGGACCCATTATGATCCCTGACAAACACAAATGTATTCTTTTTTTTTTTTATTTGAATTTACACATTGTAATTATACATGTTTATGGGGTACACAGTCTGATATTTTGATACTTATATATGTTGTATAATAATCGGGTCAGGGTAGTTAATGTATCAGTCACCTCATGCATTTATCATCAAATGTATTCTTCTGGCACATTTGTTCTCATCTTTCAGGCCATGGCTTGGCCGTCCCTCCTCCAGGAAGCCATCTCTTTTATCCCCTAGTCTGAATCAGGCACCTCGTCTGAGCTCCCACGGCCCTGACCCCTCCAGTCTGTTGCTATCTTATGATGGTTCTGTCTCCCCACTGCACCGGAAGGGCAGGACCCAGGGCTGTC